AATTTGACACATTTTATCATTCATAGATTTGGTACGAAATTTTTTTTGATTCCATTTTTTTTAAAAGCAAAACTATATATATATATATATATATACTTTACATATTTTTTCAAATATTATTTTGTTATTATTTATCATTTAAGGAAAAAAAAATTAATGTTTTGAATATATCAAGCAGGCAACCATATTTTATTATATTTTTCAGCATTTTGGTATTTTTTTAATGTAATAAAATAATGAAAACTAATTTGACCAATTTCTATTGTCAATTGATTATTAACGATTAACCTATTCTTCACCATCATAAAATTTGATTCAAATTGTTATCTATATTCAAATTGAAATCAATTACCGTGGTTTATATTTAATTACGGATTGTTAACACAATTAAGTGCCATGCATGTTATTTGGGACTTAATAGGAATACTGATAATGCAACAACTGATAATCGACTTAGAAATAGCAATTTACATAACTTCTACCTGTCAAAAACAATAAAATGCCAATGAAACAGTTACATTCAAGATCATAGTAAATACTCGGCTTGTCCAATTAGGATATATGCCAGTGAGGATGATTACAACATGATGTTAATCTGGCTAAAACATTATGAACATAAGTGTTATCTACAGATATTGAATTGTCAGTTTTCAGCACCCATTTCTTAGCCAAAGTCTATGCAAACACTCAGTTTTGATGTGTCAAAGCTTGTTTTGACACCAACGGTTGGCGAATATGGTTTCTAATTTGATATGAGATGCATTTGGAATTACTTGGATTTGTTGTTTATGACATAACGGATTGGTTTTGAGTTGGTGATCATACGTTATACTATCTTTAGAATATACTAGTTTCTTTTTATGTGAATTAGTTAATGCTTTTGGCATTTGTTTTCGATTTTGATCAAATGTATTTAAAAGTAACTCTGGTTGTCATCTATGGTCTGATTCCATCAACATTGGCTTAAAAAGTTATTAAATAGATTTAAACATACCAATTAATTTTGTATATACTACTGTGACAGTTTGATTGGTTCTATAGTTGATAATTTCACAACCAGATATGTTGGTTTTGTTTCATACATTTACCATTGTACTTTAATTACCCATTTAGCTTTAAAAATTTTAATGTATATAGTTTTACGCTTGAAAATAATTTATCTGACATTCAAATCAAAGTATAACAATCAATCGGAAAGAAATAAAATACTTCGCGGTGAAATTTTCATGTGGGTATGTATGAGAACGTTGTATTTCAAGTTATGATAAAAAAAACCATATGCGATGACTCCGGCTATCTGCAGAGCAGGTGGTCATCCTGGAATTAGTCAGGTTGGATATCCAGGTTAATAAAAAAAAATTAAAAAATTTAGACAAATAAATAATAAGGGGTATTATAGTCATTTCACAAAAGTACAGTGGGCGTTACTCGAACCAATTTGGCAAAATACCATGGGCGCTGCCGCTTAACATAAACCTAAGAGAGGCGAACATCTTAGCCCTAACGTATCTTGCCTATAAATACCGATATATGAGTCTTAAGTGTTCATCCTTCAAGCTAAAGTCTCGCCGCACAGAAGTACAGCAGAATACCCACATTACAATTCATGGCTCTAGGTAAAAAAATTCTCTCCTTTTTTATCGATCTGTACAGATTTATGTCCGATTAAGTTTTGCCCCAACAAAACGAGGTTTATGATGATGTTATATATCTGCCCGATTTGATGTAAGATGCATGTAAAATTGATTGAGTTGTTACTTATGCTTCACTTCACTAGATCTTACAACAGTCGGTTTAGATTTTCAATCAATTGATTAGATCTACTTGTCGTTAGTGATTTATGTTCTTGCCGATGTGACTGTGTGATTGGTTTTACAGTTGATTGATTCGTTACTAAAAATGTAACTTTCGCTTTGTTGTCTGATAAATGTTTGAATCACCGGTTAATTCATTGAATATTATCTCGATCTAACAAAAATAGTAGATACGTTTAGCATTTTCTTGATTGGTTTCAGATATATAGGAAAGGGTCTCCGACAACTGGAACAGGGGGTTTCAAGAATCGGCAAGATTACACGAGTTGGGCTTTGATTTTTGTCTAGGGCTAAATAAACTGGCCCGTTAGAAAGAGAAACGATTTGGTCCTTATGGTTTGTCAGAAATTATACTTTTGTCCCACAAGATAGATTTTGGATCTTTTTAAAAAATCATGATGGTTATCTTGTAATTTCAAAACTACAAGGATGAAAAGTGTTATTTTTGACAAATTACAGGGATCAAATTTGAAATTTACCTTTTTTTTTAATTATATTGCTCATCTTTTACATAAATATATCTTATATAATTTTTTTTATCAGTTAATTTTTATCAAACATAACCTCTTTATCAGTAAACTCAATTTTTGTTGACAGAATTGAGTTTGGTGGTCGTCCCTGAAACGATCTTCACGCACGAAGAGTTACGTGACTACTTGAATCAAATCCGAGCCAGGGCACCACACTACCTCGAGATAATGTGTGGTTGCACAAGCGGCAGGTACGGAGACTGCCTCGGCCTCCTCAAGATCAAGGACGATGGCACCATCTCTGTCGTATGCCATTGTTACTTCTGTAGCAAACGAGGTAAGATCAAACCCTCCTACCCAACCACCATCTTTTTATGTATCTGTTGTTTTAGCATATACTATTTATATGCAACAAAACACGTACATACACTCATCTTTGATGGGGTTTGAACTTTTGACCTCGAAAAAGATCGAGTTTATAGGACCACCAAAAGTCCTAAAAAGCTTTCTATGTGGGATTCCATATCGGTTGAAAAGGAAACGAAAGTCGCCTTATAAGGGACTGGATACCTCCTCTATCAGACATATTTTAAAACCGCGAATCCAGATATGGTTAGGATGTTGTAAAATGGTATCAAAGTAGGAACGGGATTCGTATGCCAGCAACGCTGGGATCCTAAGGAGGAAGCGTCTTATAAAGTAGTCTGTTATGGTAGTCAGGCATTTTGTTGTCCTATAAACGTGATTTTGTTACAGAAAGATCTACCGATAACTTGAATACCGTTGGACCAACGGCTATTTTTTGTTTGATCTTATATGTTAAATGAAGTGAGTTTTGATGTCTTTGGTTGTTAAGTAACGTTCGATTCACCGGTTGAGTTCGCAAAGCATGGCTCGAGAACTTCCAATGTGCCGAACTGGCGAAAGAAGGTTTGGATTATGAATCAAAATGGTGAAAAGGTCAGAATCATCGATACTAGTTTTCTAAAGTATTACACCGGAGATAACTTCCGGAGGCCGCACAACGAATCCGGCCACCGTGACCAATTTCTGAGGTGCACTGCTTGCGACAAGGTCCGCCGGTTCGAACTCCGCTTAAGGGAGATATTTAGGTGCTATCATGATGCTGCGGCAAGTGCTAACCGCACTTGCTCCACTATGATACCTGGGAAGTAAGTTTGTGTACGTCTTACCCTCAGGTTATGTTATGTTCTGCTTTTGCCTGTGATTTATTGGTTTTGTTTTGTTTGGTTCGGTTTGGTTTGGTTTGGTTCAGATGGACGTGTGAGGACCTCGAGGAGCGAATCAGCTCAAGGAGCCGCACCGGTTGCCGGAAAAACGTTCGGTGCAGAGGATGCGTCTATTGCGTCTGTTTCGGATGCCGCCTTTGTCGGTTTGAAGATTGTACCTGCCGACCGTGCGTCGACTATTACACAAACTTATCTTAGTTGGTTTGTGTCGTTACGAGGTTCGGGTTGGTTTCTTTCGATCTTCAAAACAATGTTTCAATTCTCGCTACTAGAAATCGACATCGGATGTCGCTTATGTTTTTCTTAAGTAATGTTTATCGTAAATCGACTATTTCAATATATCGAAATAAATATCAAGTGTTTGAATATCATTGTGTGTTTTTACGACTCGTATCGAAGGAATTTGCCATTTTACATGTACGTTTCTATTATCATTCCATAGATTCCGATACAGAAAACACAACTAAAGATGCAGAAGAACGATTCTACAAGATCTCGAGCTAAGAGATAACATTTGAGAGATGGTTTTCGAGGCATTTGATGTAATGGAACGTCGCTTTTATGGTCTCCCCCGGAACATGAATACGTTCGGGTTTGGTCTCATACAAAACCTTGATGTCGATAAGTGTATCCGCTTCTCCAACCGCGGTTAACATAAAACCAGTCGTGTACGAAGAAAACCCGTGATCCAAATGCCCTCCTTCGAGGATTTCAAGAGCAATCTGATGCCGAGATTCATCGAACTCGACAATCTTCTCCTTCTGGTATTTGCTTTTCGGTACAGCTAACACAAAAAGTCCAAGAAAAATCAAGAAATCATCCGGGTTTTTGGTCTTATATGACGTAAAATACGTCTAAATATCCTAATAAATTGATTTATAAATAGGACTTAAGTTTATAGCAAGTGTTACAATAAGTTGATACGACACTTTTATGCGTTTTAACTCCTAACAGGTTTTTAGAACACTTTTAAAATACAACGTCCCATAAAAAGATTGTTCAATTATCATTAAGCCACTACCAAACAGTCATATATAGCTAACCAAATAAGCTGCAAGTCCTATTAAGCTCGGTAAATTGCTATCAAACAAGACCTTAGATACATTTAACGTCCTATAAAACCAATTTTACTACAGTGAGCAAGAAATCAAGACTTACCGGGGTGAAATTTGAAGACCAAGATGGTTCCAAGGCGGCCATCTCCATCGAGCAACTCGACTTCCTTCACGATATCGGGTAAAACCGTGGTTGCCGTTTGCCCTATATCGATCGCCATCGCCTTCCATAAATCTCCGATGGGTATCGAAACCTTCATTTGGGCTGTATCTTCCCTCATCGATCGTGTTCTTCGAACCTTCACCGATCGGGTCAAACTACACTGGTAATAGCTAGTCAATGATCCAAGATCATGGAATCAAGTCTAGATATATATATGGTTAAAAAGGGTAGAATCTTTGGTTGTATATATAGGACAACAATGGCAGCAAAGCATCCCCCTTTGTTTATGGTTGAAATTACACTTCTATCCCTTACTAATGGCACCCTTATCTCCTATTTAATTATATTTTTATTTTCTTTTTGTATTTTTTCTTTTACTGTCTTTTTTTTTTATACTAATTTTCTTTGTTATATTATTTAATTATAAATGTATTACTATTACAAATATTATTTATTATTCTGTAAAA